AAGTGTCCTTAAAAGGAAAGACCTGGCTTCCCTTGCCTTTCTTCCTTCTTTTTGCTAGCTGGGATGTGACCCTGAGGCTTGGAGCTAGGGCAGCCATTTTGGACCATGAGGAAGAAGTTGGTACTGAGGACGGTACTGAGAACAACCAACTGAAGGAACCGGGGTCCCTGACACCTGCTGGAAGCCACCCCAGAAGCCCTGGGGTGCCTTATGTCACACCCCTTTAAAAGAGAGAGGAAAACTTCTGTGTCATTACAGCCATTATTACTTTGAATTTTTCCTGCAGTTGCAACCAAACTAAAATGTGACAGACTCTCCGAAAAGGAAGAGCTCACACAGGCCAGATGAGTTTTACTTTTAATTAATAAACACTTGTATGCCACCAGCTGTGTTGCTGGCATTCTGTTAAGCCCTTCCCAAATAGTAACTTGTTAACTCTCATTGCAACTCCATGATATAGGGATTACTCTTACTCCCATTTCACAGGTAAGTCTTGGAAAGTTCACGGGAAAGAGGAGGGAAACAGTTATCGAAACGTTTGCTTTTCAGTTCCAACGTCTGTTAATTCTTTCATTCAACAAATACGAACTGAACACAGGTCCGCTGCTGGGTGTTAGGGGCAGGGACAGAAAGACAGATTTGACGGCTGGTCTCCTGGAGCTCCCAGTCTGAGCTGCATTGTCCAGCATGGTAGCCACTAGCCACATGTGGTTATTAAGTTTAAATTAGTTAAAATTAAATAAAAATTCAGTTCCCTAGACATACCAGCCCCATTTCATATGTTCAGTAGCCATGTATGCTTGGTGGTTACTGTACTAGATGGTACAGCCATGGTATATGTGGTATACGTCCATCATGGCAGAAAGCTCTGGCCTAAAGGGCCATTTACCATCCAGTGGCCAAGCTCTGGCTATCCTGCTTCTTCTTGTCGCTTCCCTAATGTGCCCAGTTCTAGGGAAGGGAATGGAAAAAACAAAGCAGCCGCTTTGTTTATTTGTGAGTTATTTTCAGTTTTGTGTTACGTCCTTTTTCTTCATCATCTCAACCTATTTTACAGATGAGGAGGCTGAGGTTCAGAGAGGAAATGTGGCTCACCAAGCTTGCACCTGCAGTAGATAATATAGACTGTCCTTGGTGTTCTCAATCTCATAAATTGTATCCTTCACACAATTAAAGGAGCCTGGGAGACAGTGAGCACAGCTAACACATAGAGTGCTTGCTTACGATGGTCACGTAAGTCACTCTCCTGAAGTTCGCTTTATATAATCGTCATCCTAACTCTAGGAGCCTGAAAATTCTCCTCACATCCTTGACAGGTGAGGAAAGCGTAGTGCAGAAGGGAAGTGACTTGCCCAAGGCCATCCAGATGGGAAGACGGCTGGCATTTCTGTCCTTATCCTGGGCAGTCCTAGGCCTGGCTGGCTTCTTCCCTGTGACTCATATCCTCCTGGGGGAACCAAAGAAAAGCCAAGTCCATTCGCCCTCCTGTGAAGTTTGAGACCCAGCCAGGCTTCTCTTGGTGCAAGAGACCCACCTGGGGCCAGGACCGGGCAACACGGTGGTTTCCTGACTCTCTGGGTGGCTCTGGTCCCCTTGCCATCTCACTGCCATAGGCCCTGGGCTAGAAAACTTGGCTTTGGTACCACACCGCCCACTCTGAGTGCAAGGGCTGGCAGGGCGGGTTTGGTAGTAGGCAAGACTGGCCTCCACCCGCTTTCTGTGTTTACCTTTTGAACTTTTATTGTTAGCTTATCTTTAAGGGGGAAAAATATTCCACAGACTTAAAATAGGCAAGACAATTAATAGCATGCTTTGTTCTTCTGATCCTTATCTGTACAGGAAGACACACCCCTTTTCAGTTTTGTGGGTCAAGGTGAAACCGCCTCTGGGGGCTCACACACAGCTGCTCCTTTTCCACGTTTGAACCTGGTTCCCTTGGGCTTTTCCCTCCCTGGGGCGGAAGGGTTTTTTCCCAGCTCCTCAGCCTGAGCACTTCACCGAGGCCTTTGCTAACACTATTTATCAAGTGTTAGCATCACATGCTATAATTATTTCTTCTGACATGATTAATAGCCATGGCGCACTGAGGATGTTACTATAGGCCAGCCACTGTGTTCAGGGCTCCTAACACCCTTGTATGGTGGGTATTCTTATTTGCATTTTATAGATGAGGAAACTGAGGCCCAGAGAAAAGAAATTTTGTATTAGTTTCAGGTGTACAACCTAGTGGGTAGACAACCATATACTTGACAAAGCATTCCTTCTGATATTGCCAGTAGCCAGCAGGCACCATACAGAATTACTACAGTATGATTGACTGCGTTTCCTTTGCTGTACTTTACATCCAGGCTGCTTCTACTTTTTGACTATTATGAATAATGTTGCCATGAACGTTTGTGTACAGGTTTGTGTGTGAACATATGTTTCCATTTCTATTGGGAGAAATGGAATGACATTGCTAGATGGTTGTACTACCTTCTCTACTCATACACCCACCCTTTGAAGTCGGAAGTATTATTATGTCTTTCGCAGTTGAGAAAACTGAAATTCAGAGAGGTATGTTACCTGTTCAAGGCCACACAGTAGGTGGGGGAGCAGGGCTCGGAACCCAGGCAGTCTAACTTAGATTCCACATTCATCCTGCCTCCAGGGTCTCAGAGATTTCATTTTACCTGAAAGGTAGCCTCATCCACAAGCTGTTGAATCTCAAAAATGGAGACAAGCTCTTTGGTAGAGCTTGTCTACCCACACAGGTAGAGAACTTGAGCCCAGTGGATGCTAGCCAGGAATCTTGATCACTTCCTTCCACTGACCAAGGACCTGGGGAGCTGAGAGAAGGCTCTTTAAGCCCTTAACTTTGTAAGATCTTTTGAGGAAAGTTTAAGCCATTCCTGTTATGGTTTTCTCCTGAACTAGATGGCCTTGGAGATAAAATAAACCTGAGTTCCTGGAGGAAGTGAGTGTGTGGCTAGACCACGGGCTCTGAGGGTAATCTGGTGGTTGGCGGTAGGAAGCCCGCATCACCTCTGCCCTGAGAGTTATTCAAGCTCTAAATCGCCCGGCTGCTCCAAAGATGACAGTTTTCAGAGAGAAGGAAGTGGGATTAGAAGCCCAAGTGCAGGGCCCCAGAACAGCCCCAAAGGGAAAACACGTAGCAGGAAGCATGTCCAGATCCTTGCAAAAAAGGGGGAAAAGTGGAACCAGGAGGGGACGGTCCAAAAGCTACTTCTGTGTGAACCTGGGGACTAGGGAAGGAATTCTGGTGGCTTAGTAGATTGAGTACCAACGACCTGTGAACTAAAGGGTCACAGGTTCACTTCTCGGTGGGGTCAGGGCACATGTCTGTGTGGTGGGCCAGGTCCCCAGTTGGGGGCGTGTGAAAGGCAAACAATCTATGTTTCTCTCTCTCCCTTCCCCTCTCTCTGAAAAATAAATTAAATAAAACCCCCTATTAATGCTCTCCATTTCGGCACCCCATTTTGTTCCTTCGTAGCACTCACCATCTTTCTAACTATTTGAATCCTGGGACTGTGATTCCCAAGCAGGATGCCTGGTGTGGTTTTGTTCACTGCTGCACAAAGCTTGTTGCCTGGCCCCCAGGAGGCAGAGTTGTTAGAGAAAATGCAAAAGCCCCGTTAAATTTGAATTTTATTTTATTTTTAACTTTGTTTATTATTTATTTTAAAAAGATTTTATTTATTTACTTTTAGAGAGGGGAAGGCAGGGAGAAAAAGAGGGTGAGAAACATCAATGTGTGAGAGATTCATCCATCGGTTGCCTCTCATACGCCCCCAGCTGGGGACCTGGCCGGCAACCCAGGCATGTGCCCTGACTGGGAATCAAACTGGTGACCTTTGGGTTCGCAAGCCGGCGCCCAATCCACTGAGCCACACCAGCCAGGGCTAAATTTGAATTTCACACAATGAATTATTTTTTGGTATAAGCATGTCCCATTTGTTTATGCTGAGACTTAAATTTAAGCTTTCTGTATTTTATCCGCTAAATCTGACAACCTTAATTGTAGGGTTTCTATAAATAGATAAATGGGATTTTGCCTTGACTGTGCCCTAAACTTGCTGTGTGACCCTTCGGGCAACACTGCCCTCTCTGGGCCTGTTTTACTATCTTAAAAGTGGGAGTTCGAGTAGCGACCACAGCGCAGGGATCGCCAGTGTGAGAGGACGTTGGGTGGACTGTCACACAGCAGACAGGGAGCTCCGATCATGCAAGAGCAGATGGAACAGACTAGATCTCCACACAGGCCTCCGCTCGCCACTCTCCTCTCTGTCGCTGGGGAAGCCCCGGATCCACCCCCTACGACGCCTGGGCCCGCCTGAGGCCGTTGCCATGGAGACAAAGGTAGCCTGGAGGCCCTCCCCCACTAAGCCACGCGTTTCCGCTGCGTTGGAGCCTTCTGATTGGATGGCCATCTGGACGAGCCCAATAGGGCGTGGGGGCGGGGTCTTGTTCCCGTGGGAGTCAAGTCCTCAAGACCAGTGCATGTGGCTTTCTGTGGGAGGATGGGTTTCCTGATTCACAAGGGGACAAAGACTCTGAGGTCGGGAGAGTGTCCATTGCTTCTACTAGAGCTTATGTTCATGTCTCAGAGAAAGGGTGAGGGCAAATCGGCCACGCCCCCTCTGGTGCCCATTCGGTCCTAGGATCTGGAGCACCGGAAGTGCTGGCAACGTGTTGGTGCGCTCTACCCTAAACGTTCCTCCCTCGGCCACCTTTCCTATTCAGCTACGAGATTCCGGGGCCGTCTGGGCGCTGCACCCCGACACTTCCGACACTTCCTTATTGAAACACCGTTTCAACCGAACTCCGAACCTCTGAGCGCGTTCCCTCCTGTGCCTGAGGGTTGGGCCGGCGCCTGGGAGTAGCCACGCCCTTCCCCGCTCCTGGTAGCCAATGGGCGGGTGAACCCCGGCGAGGTGTTGGCTAATTAATGAGGCCCGGACGCTGATTGGCTGCAGATCGTGGCCGGGGGCTGGCCGACGGGATAGGTTGTTCCCGAGGTGGGAGGTGGTAGCGGTCGTTGAGAAGGAGGCCTGAGATCGACATGTACCCGGCGGGTGAGACAGAGCGGCCCGTGGCGCTGTTTCTCTGAGTCCAGGGCGGCCTGGAGGCCGGCTGAGAACGAGGGTTGGAGGAGGCTGCCCCCGCTTTGGTGGCCGCCATGCTGGGGGCCCGGGCGGTTGAGGGAGCCTCTGTAGCGCTCCTGCGACTGCTGCTGCTGCTGCTGCTGCCGGCTTTCAGCGGGCCGGGGCTCGGCATGGTTGGCTTGGTGGGAGCCGGGCTGCCCGAGAGCGTTATTTGGGCAGTCAACGCGGGCGGCGAAGCGCATGTGGACGTGCACGGGATCCACTTCCGCAAGGACCCTTTGGAAGGCCGGGTGGGCCGAGGTGAGAGCCTCTCGCGGAGCCGCGGGATCCCAGGCCTGCCGTGCTGGGTGCAGCCGGCTAAGGGCTGCGGGCCCCGAACCCCCTTCCTCGACCCCTGGGGCCACGTCTCTGGAGCAAAGTTTCTGCAGTTTACAGGGACCGGGTCACAGCTCAGAGCCTGGCACTGGCTTGAGAAGCTACCAAGAGCCATTGAGGCATAGAGTTAGCGAGAAGTTATAGTTGGACCTCGCATCCTGCATTTTCCTAACTCCTCGCCTCGACCCGAGCTGGGAAAAAAGTAAAGACGAGGGCGGCCTATTGCCACCTCGAGGCCTCACGATTGTAGGTTATCGGGGTCCCTGGCCCGGGTGGTTCTCTCCTCTCAAGTCAGTTCCTGGTGGAATTTTGCCGACCCCAGACATCGGCCGCTTTCCTTACTGGTTCTGCAGGAGTGGGGCTTGATACTTAGCCAGAATAGAAAGGAATCTTTGAAGAGGACGGGCCAGAAAAGTTTGATCGCAGCCTCCTCTCCCCGCCCCGCTTTGGAGCGAGGGCTATGTGTGCTTAAAAGCAGAAGCTGCAGGCCGCCCCCAGAGGATGGTTATATCGAAATCGTCCTGCACTGGAGGCTGGTGGTGTGTCAGCTGGGTCAGCCAGTGTAAGTTCTGAATAGTTTGAGAGTGTGTAGAACTTATGCTAAGTGGTCCAGAGAGGTATGATCCCAGCTTATGGGAAAAATGATTTTGACTTAACTGATTGAGCAATAGTGGTTATTACAGAGCTGCACAGTTCTCTCCAAGTTGGTGGAAGAATTGCCAGGAGAGCTGGTTAAAAATGCAAACCCCAGACCTAAGAAATTAAACCCAGGTTTCTGTACCAGAGGCTTCTGATGTAAGTCATCCCCAGACCACACCTCTCTTGGGGCAAATCTGCTCTAGACTCTGTCTCTTCTGTACGTATGATTGAAAAACAGGTTTAAGAAGGAGGCCCTTGCTTCATAATGTTGGAAGATTTATACTGTATGCTGGGTTCAGAGGCTGGCAAATTGGCAATATGCCATCTCCAGAAAACTAGGAGACAGACTTTCTCCAACTCTTTCTTTCCACGATGCCCAGATTTGGCTCTTGCCTGGACTCAAGTATTTAACTTGGTTATTCCAAGTTAATTGCAGTGCCTTGAGATTTGCTATATTCTATACCCAGAGCATATTAGGGAGTTTATGGCTTACATATATGTGAGAGAGTTGGGACACAGAGCTGTTTTCTGAAGTTCTGTGTTTGTCTTGGAATTTATGTAGCCTTGGCATGTAGGTCTCAGTAGGCTGGATTCAGCTGAGTCAGGGGGGCCCCATGTTTAGCAGCTGTAACGGCCGCCAAAGTCAGACTTCCTAGCAGGCGGTGCTACCGTCTCCATCTGGACCCTTCCTCTTCGTGGGCATGGGCCCTTGAGGAAATTTGAGAGCAACCGTTTGCGGACTTTGCCCCTTGAGAGAGCTGTGGTGAGGACTGTGTGCAGATGGTTCCTTTCATTTATGCAGATACCAGGCTTTCAGGTCCGTTGTACAGAGGAGGAAGTCAGGACCACACAGGTTTGGTTCCCCGCTACTCCTCTCATTCAGCAATCCTGGTTTTAGTTTGCTGGTACAGGTGGCGGTGTTTTTTTTTTTTTTTAAAGAATTATTTATTTATTTATTTATTTATTTATTTATTTAGGTTTTTGGCCTGATCAGCAGTGACCAGGCTCCTTGTCTTTGGGTTCTTGGCCCATGGTTGCAGTTCCTTCTGAGTTTTTTTGTAGCAAGTAGAATTACCCGAGACCTACCAAAGCTCAAGCGTACTAGAGTCCTATCCCGGGCCCTGGCCTTCGAGGCAGTCTGCCATCAGAGGTTTCCTGCTCCAGTCGATCAGCCTGGGTCGGAATGTAGCAGTATTAGGGCCTGCATGAGGAGTGGAAGATGCTTTTCTGCTGCTGCTTGGACCAGCCTGTTGCAATATTATGCTTCTGGGTGCCTGAGACCAGCTTTTTGCTGGCATTAGGTCTGGGGCTGAGGTGTGATTAAGCTTCCACTCTCGGGAGGCAGCTCTGTAGTTTCTTCTGTGCTAAGGAGTGTGGCACCACCCAGGGAAGCGCAGCTGTTCGCGCTGCTTTCCTTCTCTGGCTCTGGATAAGGGCGCGCCAGCGATTTGGAGACCTGGGCCTCATGTAGCTATTCACACTGATTGCAGCAAGAGCTGTATGCTTATATCTTTTCCCACATGCCTGTGATACTGTTTCCAGCGTGCTAAAGAAAGTTCATTTTATGTTGAATGAATTCAGGTATCTGTTGCCAAGTTAATCCAGATAAGGGTTTGGCCTGCTTTTGAACTTGCTCTTTCTCTGTAGTGTCTTTGTAGTTCAGCATTCATATAACTGTGAGTGGCCCAGGGCACCTAGTGGCTTTAGCGTTCAAAGGCGCTTGGCAATGTTTATTGAACTTCACCCGCCAGGATACTTGGTGTTCACAGGAGATAGTGACAGCCTGGGAAAGGCTTTTTCAACCGGTGCGCTTCAGCAGATGAAAGTACCGTTACGGAGAGTGGTTCAGACACGCTCGATTTGGGATTTTGGCATGCCGCATATTCTAGGTTCTTTTTAACTTGCTGCTGCTGGGTTCCCCTTGCGTCTAAGGGAGAGAAGACCTGGTTATTTAGCCTGAGGGCATAGTGCCTGGCTTGGTTTTAGGAGAGGCTATTTTCTCTTCATAGAAAGACACCTGCTAATCGTTCGTATTACCTTGAAGAACTTGCTGTACCTTCTCTGAGCCTTATTTTCCTTCTTAGTAAAACTTCTCATGCTTCAGAAATCAGTGACATGGACCTGAGAACTCCCTTGTCCAGAGTAGGTTAAAGTGTCTCTACCTGTTTCTTTGCTTGATGACCTTTTACAGGGAATTTAAAAGTAGGGCAGAACGTGGCTGCAGAAGGGAAGAAGCTGGCCAGGGGCCTGAGCCTATCACGTTACTGATGCTGTGGGCCTGAGGAGAAGACCCTTTTCTGGGCAGCCTTCCTTTTGGCTGAGGAAGGATTTGGCCTCGGTGAGATACGCGCTTGAAAGACAGGATGCCTCTGGTTTGCTTAAGACACAGATTTGTGTAGAATCCTGGCCCAACACCGCCACCTAAGATGCGGGCTTCACGCGCAGGCCCTCCGAGTAGCAGAAGTTCGCGGAGAATCTGGGGAGGCGATATCCCCATTTTACAGGCGAGAAAACACCCAGAGGAAATACTTGTCCTGAGCCACATACTCTAGGACTGAAATCCTCGGCTCGCGTACTCTGAAACCTGGGCTGGCCACTCCATTGTCCGGGACTAAGCAGCAGTGGGCAAATGTAGGCCCCGGGACCCCCTTCCTCTGTGGCTGTCTGAGCTGCAGTGTGCTCTGTACGCGTCGCCGTGTTCTGGAGAGATCTGTCGGGCTGTGACTACGTGAAGGCACCGGAGGGAAGGAAAAAATCCTTTTTGCTGCTGTATCTCCTGGGCCTTGGGCACATTCAGCTTGGCATGTGGCAGATCTCTTGGGAAGGCCACTTGAACGGGAAAATAGTTAAAGGTAATTCCCAGGTTATTAAGTGGTTTTTTTGTTCGCATGGCTGCGTTTTCTTGTGGGACTGGGACTGCCAGAGATTACATTACTGACAGTTTCTCACTTTTTCCACTTGGCAAGGGGAAAACAAAGCAAAACAAAACAAAAACCATGATTTCCCACACATGCACAACTTTTTCTGTGTATCTAAAAAGCAAATCTAGTTAACTTTCCAAATTTGTAAGGATTACGGTCCCTCACGGAAGAAGGAAATTCTTAGAACTCAATTGAATGAAAAATAGCCGTCTTTTCATCTTGATAGGTTTATGCCCCAGTGTAATGTCACATGAGCCGGGGAGAGAGCCTGGGGCGGCCCGCAGTACATCCTTTGTAGAGCTGCTCAGCTGCTCCCCTTTGATTTCGGGAGGAGAAGTAGGAAGAAGAAATGCCCGAAGACAAAAGTGCACTGAGTTTCCTGTTACTTTGTCTCATTAGTGCATCTGATCTCAGGCTACTGTTCACTTACAGGAACTGTTAATACTTATGTTTATTTTTTTGAGGGCTTGACCTTAGCCACTGCGTCTCTCAGTTGCTTTTTTATCTCCAGATTCACGCGCGCTGGCGTGTGCTCGCACTCGCATCTCTCTCTCTCTCTCTCTCTCTGGTTTTTGTGATTCAGAAGATAATGCCCAGGGATGGTCACTCGTAGACATCTCCCAAAGGATCTAGGGGCCCAGTGTCACCAGAGCCACTGTGTGAGACGGGAAGGTGGCCGTGAGCTCTCAAGTCTGGGCTGGAGGAGAAACCAGGCCTGCGGGAGGTAGATTTGTGGAACTCCGGGCAGCCTCCTTGTGTTCCCGGGATGAAGGAGTCGGAGAGGCTCCTGTCTGAAGAAGGAAGCATGACCACTCCCCCTGGGGCTGGAGTGCAGTGTCTTATGTTTGAGGAAAGACCCCGGTTTAGTTTGTTAGGTTGGGGGAAGACACACCTCACACTGTATCATCTCCTGCCAAGTCTGGGGGAGGACCCGAGGCAGTAGAGGCTTTTGGCTGTTCTGACACCGACCTGAGGCGAGTATCTTTTTGCTTTTACCCTGCCTCCCCCCTTGTCAGTCTGTGAGACGGGAGGGCCGCTCGCTGCCCCAGAACTCGGGCATCTCAGGTACTAGGACCGTGGCAGGTTTTCTCTCCCCGCCAGGGTGGCTCTAGCCCCGTGGGGAGAAGCACGTGGCTTCATCGCTTTGCAGGAACCGTGCTGGGTGCGGGAGGTACAGTAGGAAGTTTCTTCCTCCTTTTTGTTTAACTGGGGGAAGTGTGCAGGAGAGGAGGCGAGGTTGAATTGTGTGCGTCTGTGGGAAGAAAGGTGCTTGGACCTGAAGGAAATTGGAGAGCATCGAACCCTTCTTTAGCGCCTTCAGACTTTTTCAACGAAAAGTCATAAAAAGCAACTGAAGCTGGGTGACTTGTTTGTGGTGAAGACAATGAAGAATGACTGTCCTAACAGATACCCTGCTTCCCAGACTCGGAGCTTTTCTGAATAAGAAAAACACATTCTTTTTGCACGTATTGGTCTTGCAGAGTTCTGGGCCATCCCCCTTGTTTTATGAGGTTTCTCTGAAGTGCCCCCTTGCAGGGCATCAGGCAGCTGGGCCGTAGTGCTTTGTTCTAATAATGAGTTAGACCTGTTCTCTGAAAAAGTCATGTCTGAAAGAAAAACTTGCAGAAAATCCCGCTCTGGGGGTTGCTCTAGGGGCCACGGGAGCTGTTGGGGTGATTAGGCTTCCGTCTCTTTCATTTTTTCACTCTGGCTTAGTAATGGCTTTCTTGCCTTTGCGTCTGGTCTGCTGGGAGCCAGGAGCAAAGGGGCCGGCCCCTTCCCTTCCGCCTGGCGGTTATTAGCTTTGCCCTGGAAATGCCTCCGGCCGTTCGGGGGTCTCTGCTCTTCTTTCATGTTTTGCCTCTGATGTGATTTCTCGTTATCTTTTGTCCCCAGCCTCCGACTACGGCATGAAGCTGCCGATCCTCCGCTCCAACCCCGAGGACCAGATCCTGTACCAGACCGAGCGGTACAACGAGGAGACCTTCGGCTACGAAGTGCCCATCAAGGACGAGGGGGACTACGTGCTGGTGTTGAAGTTCGCCGAGGTCTACTTCGCGCAGTCCCAGCAGAAGGTGAGGCCTGGTCAGTGCCCCCACCCCTGCCCCCCCGCCCTGACCAGCGAGACAGCGCCACTTTCGGCCAGTCCTCCGGGACCTGCAGACCTCCTCAGGAGGGAGGAACCCCCGACCTTTGAGGGGAAAGCTGGGTTCCCTTTGCGGCTAGAGAAGCCGTGTCCCACTGCTCACGAGGCTGCACTTGCCCGGGGCTGGTGACAGAGGACTCTTCGCAGCAAACCGACCCTGTCCTTTGAGGCCCTCCGGATTATCTTTCTTCTTGGTGTCTGCACCTGCTTTTTTTTTTTTTTTAGCCTTGTTCTTTTACCGTCCCTTCTTATGAATTTCCTTGTTTCCATGTTGAGCTTTTTTGTTTGTTCCCTAAGGCCAGTGTGAGGCCTCCTTGAGAGGGAAGGGACATGGACTTGGAGTGGCTCAGGTAGAGGACGCTAGCTATCCTGGAGCATATCCGGCCCTGTCGTTCCTTAAATTGCTTTTGAACTTGAAGCCCAGACAGGCGTGTGTTGTCCCGCCGCTGCAAGGGCATGGAGCTGATGGTTTTGACGCTGTCTCCTTTTTCCGTCTTGGAAGGTGTTTGACGTGCGATTGAACGGCCACGTCGTGGTGAAGGACCTGGACATCTTCGATCGCGTCGGGCACAGCACCGCTCACGATGAAATCATCCCGATGAGCATCAGAAAAGGGAAGCTGAGTGTCCAGGGAGAGGTGTCCACCTTCACGGGGAAACTGTACATCGAGTTCGTCAAGGTAATGCCCCGTGGTGCCCTTGGCGCCGAGGGAGAGCTCCCGAGAGTGGGGCGGGGGGTGGGGGCACCACGGGCCGCCGCGCAGGGCTGACCGCCGTCTCCCGTTCTCTCCCGCGCGGCCGCAGGGGTACTATGACAATCCCAAAGTGTGTGCGCTCTACATCATGGCTGGGACGGTGGACGGTGAGTTGTTTTCGATCTGCTTTTGGACTTGGGCCGACGGGTGTGGTCGAGAAAACCCTCGGGGGATAATTTAGCTGCCCCATATTTTGAAAACGATTACTGAAAGCCCAACGGTGGGGGCCCCGGGGTCAGGAGGCTGGGGATGGAGTGTAGCTCGGTGTAGGGATAGGGATGAGCCTCGGAGCCAGACCTGTGTTTGACTTGCGTTGCTGCCATTTAATCAGCTGTGTGGTTTGGGACGAATTCCTTTAACTTTTCCTGTAAATTGTGATGAACACACTTGTTGGTGTGCCAGACCCTTGTAGCCGTTTGGAATTGTCCAGAATGTGTCCTTATTCTGCTTCTTTGATGCCTGTTCCCTGGGGCGGGGGTGGGGGGGCAGAAGGAGGAGTTCTTCACTGTTCTGGTCTGCTCCGTCTCTCCCAGACTCCAGTGTTGCCGGGCCACACTGGGCAGAAGTTCATTTATTATGGTCTCCTTGTCCTTGTGATCCAGCCACAGGGTACGTTTCCTTCTCAAGGCTGAGATTATGCTGGCTGCCAGCTTCCCAGGCGGATTTTTGCAGAGAAAGCTAGTGTCTTAGTACCTTTTCTCCCCATCCCACCTCTGTACCCTTTCCCAACTCATCCTGAAGGCGCTGAGGGTCTCATCCCATTGTCTCGATGTCCCCCACGTGCTGATAGGATGACATCCAGGCAGATGTCTTACAGCCCACAGATTTATGGTTCCGAGTGCCCGAGGAGGAGACAGAAGAGGGGTAGTATGTGTGAGAGCCCAGAACTCTGTGCATCGGCTCTGCCTCGGCTGCTTTGTGAATCAGAAGAGAACGTGGGATTGTGGCAGGGAGGAGGAGGGGTTTGAAAAGGGGAAGCCTGGGTGTTGTGTTGTCATCCCTGTCCCGTCCGTCCTCTTGGGGACCTGGAGAAGTGGGACCCGTAGGGGAGAGAGTGACCCTCCCCGTGTGCAGGGCTTTCACTGCGTCTTAGCCGAATCCGAAGACGGCTGCTGTGCTCCGGAACCTGCAGTTCTCTAGGCCGGAAGCTATTTCTGCTCCTTCGGCCCCTCCCTGCAGCCCCTGGTTAGGTCACAGCGTCTCTTTATTGTGACTCATTTACCGCGTCTAAGGGTCTCCCGTCAGTGCTGTGGGTCTTATTAAAAGGTATCCTCTTTCTTGTGTCAGATGTGCCAAAGCTGCAGCCTCATCCAGGACTGGAGAAGAAGGAAGAGGAAGAGGAGGAAGAAGAGTACGATGAAGGATCCAATCTGAAAAGACAGACCAATAAGAACCGCGTGCAGTCCGGCCCCCGCACGCCCAACCCCTACGCCTCGGACAACAGCAGCCTCATGTTTCCCATCCTGGTGGCCTTCGGGGTCTTCATTCCGACCCTCTTCTGCCTCTGCCGGTTGTGAGCGCAAGTCACCGTCCTGAGCAGGGTGGAGGGGTGCGGGAAAGAGACCGGACGCGTTGTTTGGTTCCTGTCCTTTTCACGGTGATTAACACAAACAAACAAACTAAAAACACCACAAAAAAATTAAAGGAGCTAACGAGAGGCAGAGCGCGTGGAGAGCAGCCCTCCTTCGGCACCACCGGGCCCCCAGCCTGCCTCGGCCCCGGGCCTCCGCTCGAGCGGCCCCACCGTCCCTTTCCTCTCCGAGGCACCTCGCTCGGGTGGACGGGTCCTCCCTGCTCAAGGACCCTCGTCTGTTTACCTAGTGGAAAGGACTCTGAACTTGGAGCAGACCCCCTTTTTAGGGTTGCAATTAACAGCAGGGACACAGTCATCTTGTTCCCTGAGAAGACCAGCCCTGGGAGTTGGGTATGTCCTGAACGCGTGTCCAGATGCGTTTCCAGATGCCCCCGGGATTGGGAGTGGGCGCGGTCTGCGCATGTGTGAAGATGTATACTTTGTATGATAGGGGTGAAAACAGAAGGGTTTTTTTTTTTTTAAAAAAAAAGAAAGAAAAGTAGATACTTTCCTACTTGGAAGCCTTTCTGGTTTTAGCCCATCGGCAGTTCCAACTTCCTGTCTGAGCTTTCTGCCGCCGCCTGCTTCCCTGGCGCGGCCCGGGGAGGGGGCGGTCTGGCGCCCGAGACGGTCAGTGTACGTCAGGCCCGCAGATCGCCTCTGGCTTGTTACCACAGCAAATCATTTTGATTTCAGTGTTTGTTGGGGACTTAATTTCTTCTTTCTTTCTTTCTCTCTCTCTCTTTTTTTTGTTTGTTTTTTGTTTCTTCATCTGGCTCATTTGAATTCTCTCTCAACCATCTCACTAAGTAATTGCCAAGGGAAGACGACATGAGGACTTGGGATTCCCTCTGCTTGAATGTCTTATCACCTACCACTTCACCTTGACGGTACCTCCCTCCCTGGAGCTCTGAGCCAGCAGCAGGAAGACCTGACCCGAGCAGTTCTTGCACTGGCCCCTTTGCAGGGGCTTGCTGCCAGGGGACAGAGATGCTTTCCAGCCTGCAGCGACAGAACACTTGACCTTAAGAGTCTCTTCTGGTCTTTGGATTAGAAAAGGCTTATGTAAGCATCCCTTAGGAGCAACCTCAGAGACTTGAACGCTGCGAAGTGACTGACCACTGTTTAGAATGTCTAGTGTCTGATGTTCATTTACTCCTCTGTCCTTTTATGTCACGGTTCAGCCAGTTCTGGGTCTGCTGCCCCAAGGAGCTAGACTGACTGTCCCTGGCCCAGGGACGCTGCTCACCGGTCTTAACAATCTGCCCCTCTGTCTTTTCATTTTCCTCTGCAAGTAGCAGTCAGGTTCTTGGTGTGGCAGCAGGGACAGAGTTCCAGGCAGCCGTCGTCCTGGTGGCCCTGGAGCCCACCGTGGCATCTAAGTGTCCATCTTGAATTCCCCGGAAAGGCTTCTCTGCAGGAAGCGGTTCTTCCCCGCTGTGCCGGCTCTGGTCTCTGTCTCCTGCTTCCCGGCTGCGAGGAGCTCTGTGGATGGAAGGCAGCAGGGCTGGCTTCTGCTTGGGCTGGGGCAGCAGAGCATCTCAGGCCAGGGCAATTTTGTGAAGGTGTTTAATTTCGAGTTGGTCTTTTTTGGATGTTTTTTGTAAAGAGCTCCATCTATTTGAACTACTTCGTATGTGACAAAGTAAGTCGTCCTCGGGCTCACGAGCTGGGTTTTGGCTTTTCACGAGTGAGTCTGGGCCGGCATTTCGTCCTCTGACCATCGTGGCCCTTCGTTCTGGCTGCGACTTCAGCCTCAGTGCTCGGGTGTTGAGTCAGGCAGCTGCACGGTTGTGGCCGAAGGCCGCGGTCGGGAAGGTGGAGAGCTGTACAGAGCTCCCTGCTGTAAAGGATGGCGGACCCTCCATCCTGGGACCACCTGCCCGGGGCAGCGGGCATCCTGACTATCCATGGGGCTTCTGACAGTGGCTTCGGCCCCCATTCCGTCCCGTCCCATCCCATCCCGTCCCAACTCCCCAGGGCCGGGGGCTACGGCCTGGACTGGTGACAAGCTGAGGAAGGAAGACTCGCTGCCTCCGTTCTGCCGCATTCGTTTGCCTGGGTCTCACTGAGGAAGGAGGGGTCCCCACCTCCTCACCTCCGCGCATCCCTTCCGTGACTCAGAGTCTCAGAAGGAAACCTCGGCTCCTGGGGCCATTTCCTCATGGTACTGTAAGCCAAGCAGCCCCGCCGCTGCCTCTGTCTCCCAGCCCACCCTTTTCCCCTGAGCTCGGGGGTAGGGATGGGCACTTTCCTCTTCGGTTGTGTCTGAAAGGAAGGAACATCTTTCTCTGGCCGACAAAAACTGAAGGGGAAATGAGGTAACAGGAAGAAATGGTGGGGGCTGGGGTAGAGTCCCCTGGGCCAAGGGCTGGTCACAGCTGGCTCATGATGCTGAACTTGAAAGCGTTTTTTTTTTTCCCCCTCCCAGATGATATAGGTACGTGAAATTTAGGTTAAAGCGGTGGGATGGGGCACTCTTTATTTTTATTTTTGTATTGTGTGGGCTAAGAATTACTCAGTAGTTCATCTTTTGCTTTTTGCACTGTTTGTTCCCTTGCCTGTATTTTGAGCTCGTGCTAGGACAGAGAGCCTGCGCTGTAGGGGGTCTGTTGGGGTTTGGGGGTGCGCAGCGGGGGCAGTTAGGGGTGGGGAAGCAGCGGCCTGGGCTCTTCCCCTGGATCTACGCTCTGCCCCAGGCTGCTTAGGTCCCCTGAGACCAGCTGGCCAGAGCTAAGAGCAGATGGCCAGGGTGGAGCTCCTTTTGCCAGAAGCGTGGCTTCCGTCATTCTGGGTGGACCACGCAAAGGTGTCTGCTGAAGATGGCCAGAGGGTCTGTGGTGTCGCTCTGATTTGGGCCAGGGGCCAGCTGGCCTCTAATGGGACTTCTTTGAGCTTCTCTCATGCTGAAACATTGTACCAGGAAGCAGTCTGTGGGTCCCATGGCCCCTAAGGAGATCCATTCTTGGAGAAATTCCCACTATCGAGGAGAAGCTGCTCAGTGAAGACACTGAGCTCTGGGGACCTGAAAGATGGTCGTCTTCAGTGTCAGTGGTGTCAGACTCCCGGGAGGACCGCCGGGCCACCTGTGGTTCGGGAGTGCGGTCTCATTCTCTCGTTCCGCTGTTTGCCTAGGGGACGCCGGCCTGCAATCGGGGAGCACATAAGAAGTCACTTAGGCTTTTAAGAGAGAGGGCGAAGTTTGCGTTACGTTTACCTTCCTCTTTCTGTGCCTGGGAACTGGGTAATCCAGTTTCAGAATTGTGATTCGACTTTATCTTTTTGAAGAAGCTTCTGTTTTAAGGAATTTCTCTTCCTTCTTACCCTGCCTCTACCCGCGCTTGGGAAGGCCTGGCCATGGCTTCTAGAATCTCAGCTGAAAGTCAGAAAACGGCAGCGGTATGTTCCCTCTCGCAGCACTTACACACCCTTCCCTACAAAACGGCCCACTTGAGAAGCCCAGGGAAGGAGTCAGCGGGCTCTCTGCCCTCCCTGGGGGTCGGGGAAGGACCCCCCGCCCCGGGTCAGCACAGTGCCTTTTCCTCGCCTGCTCTGCACCAGGGTGGGCATTCCCTCCAATTCAGGTCTGGGCAGCGGTCTTCCAGTCCCTGCCCTGGGGCTGCTTCCCCCTCCCTTCTTCCCCTTCCCCTTGGCTGGCCAGCTCTGACCTAATTCAAGTGTCTTCTTGCCCCGAGGAGCCTTAATGGCATCAAGTGGCACCATGTAATACTGTCCTCCATGCCTCTCCAGACGGACCGAGGAGAGCGGGGGAGCTCTCCGAAGTGAGAGGCTAAAAGATGCTTCTGTTTGAAAGAAGGGCAGAGGGAGAGCTGTGGGCCGTCTTCCGCTGTGGCTCCAGGGGCAGAGGCCGGGGCCAAGCAGAACCGGGAACACCTAGGGTCTGTTCAGAGCTCTCTCTTCTATGGGAAGATAGAATTAGGGATCAAAGAGCTCTAAGGAAATTGCAAAGAAGCCTTACTGCTCGAGCTTCAGAGCGCTCAGCGTAGTTTTTCCCTTTCAGTCTGAGCTGCGACTCTTTCTGCATCGAGGCCGCTCCTGGAGCAAGAGGGCTAGGCTTCCTCATTTTGTTACGAGATGAGATTGGCACCGACGGGTCAGCTGCCTAGCGAGGGTGGGTTTCCTCTCTGTGCATGGGTGGCTTGCTGCCGATCTGGTTTGTCCCTCCCCAGCGGCCTTCTGGCCAGCCTACTTTGGGTTGCCACATCTTTTTGATAAGAACAGATGCTTTGAGGACCGGCTGGGTTGGCAGAAAAAGAGCAGGATAGAACTCTTGGGATGGGGCCCGCCCCCCCGCCCGCCAGGAGTACAAAAGCAAGGAGCCAGGATCGTGCTGGCAGCCGGGCAGACAGCGGTGCCTGGCAGAGTTGGCAGAGAGGGCCCTGGCGCCGCTCGCATCCAGGCAGTCTCGTGCGAGGGGGGCACGCAGCGCCAGGCAGAGCAGAACTCCGTTCTCACCTCTATTTTGAGCTTCCGCGCTTTCCTTCAGCACGAGAAGAAACAATAACAAACTGAAGTGCGCACTCATCTTTGCAAAGGACAACTGTCGGGAAGGCAGGGCCGCGTCGCCGGGCGGGAGGGGAGCGCTGGCAGGGAGAGACGGCTCGGTGAAACCAGGACTGAGACATCCCCGACTCCTCTGCCCTGACGTGTCGGGGTCCAGGGAATGAAAAGAAATTTGACCCTGGGTTAGTTTCCTCCTTGGGTTTTTCTTCCACCGAGTTCTCCCACGTTGGGGCCGGCTGCCCGTTCTGAGCTCAGAGCAGCCGCTTCAGCCATCTACCTGGCTTGTCTGCGGGCCCAGCCCGCCCCTCCTGACTGGTCCCGTGGTGTTCTGTACACCACGTGCTGGAGAGTAGTGTCGAGTTCTTAGCAGCCCTTTTGTAGTTCCTACTCAAGACCCCCATCCTCTCCCCGCGGAGGCGAAACCAACTCTGTGGCCACGACGCGCACTTACAGCCGCACAGTGAGACGGACCGAGGGGCTTTGACCCTGGCTGGCCCGGGAGAGCAGTAGGGGTGGATAGAGCTGTCTTTCCTTCTGGGCTGTGTCCACCTGTCCCTGCCCCTTCTGTGCCCCACCCTACTCCCACCAAAAAGAAAAAAAATCAGGATGTTTTTCACTGTCCATTGCTTTGTGTTTTAATAAACAATTTGCAGTGACACTCTGTGTTGGGATTGACTTTGAGCTTGATTGTGAAGAGGTGAGGTGACGGGGTGGGAGAAGGCCGGCCCAGGCGTTCACTCGGCACGGGGCACGTTTAGCCACATGGCTCTTGCCTGTCTTTGCACTGGGGTGTTGGGTTAAGGAAGTGAAACTGTAAAACCATGCCTGGCCAGTTCAGCCAACAGCACATTCAAGGAAAAGTGAACGTTTTGTTTCCACTTTCACTGGAACACCAGGCCACGGCGGACTCGGTCCAAGGCACGCCGGGGCCTGGCTGCCCCTCATTCCCTCAG